TTTTAATTTTTTTGTCAATATATGTGTATTAATACACACACAAGAAAATGTCAAATTTTCAAGTTTTTCTTTAATTTTCTTGTCAAAATATGTGTATTAACACACAAACACAATATGTTTAATTTTCGAGTTTCTTTCAGGAATTTTTCCCCTCAAGTTTGCAGGACAAATTATTTTATTTTCTTGTCATGATTTGTGTATCAACACACAAACACACACACACACACACCCACACACACACATACATACGCACACACACGCACACACACACATACGCACACACACGCATACGCACACACACGCATACGCACACGCACGCGCACGCACGTGCACACACACGCACACACACGCACACACACGCACGCACACACACACACACGCACACGCACACGCACACGCACACGCACACGCACACGCACACGCACACGCACACGCACACGCACACGCACACGCACACACGCACACGCACACGCACACGCACACGCACACGCACACGCACACGCACACGCACACGCACACGCACACGCACACGCACACGCACACGCACACGCATACGCACACGCACACGCATACGCACATGCACATGCACACGCACACGCACACGCACACGCACACGCACACGCACACACACACACACACCCACACACACACACACACACGCACGCACACACACAAGAAAATATAAAATTTTCGAATTTTTTTTTAAATTTTCTTGTCAAGATATGTTTATTAACACACACAATAAAATGTTAAATTTTGGAGTTTTTTTTTCCTGTTAAGATATGTGTATTTACACACACACAAAAAATATTAAATTTTCAAGTTTCTTTTGATTTTCTTGTCAAAATATGTGTATTAACACACACCAGAAAATGTTAAATTTTTGAGTTTTTTTAATTTTCTTATCAAGATATGTGTATTAACACACACACAAAAAACTGATAAATTTTCGAGTTTTTTAATTTTCTTGTCAAGATGTTTGTATTAACACACACACACACACACAAGAAAATTTTAACTTTTGAGTATTTTTTAATTTTCTTGCCAAGATTTGTGTATTAACACACACAAGAAAATGAATTTTTTTAAAAAAAATTTCTTGTCAAGATATGTATATTAACACTCACACAAAGAAATGTTAAATTTTTGAGTTTTTTAAATTTGTTGTCAAGATGTGTGTATTAACACATACGCAAGAAACTGTTAAATTTTTGAGTTTTTTTTTTTAATTTTCTTGTCAAGATATGTATTTTAAGACACACGCAAGAAAATGTTAGATTTTTGAGTTTTTTTAATTTTTTCCAGCTGATTGTCCTTTGTCAAATACGATCAACTATAGAGGTGAAGAGATTCTTTTTTCTTCTACCAAAATACTTCGGCGAACCAATGTATTAACCCATGCATCCCTCATTATGTATCCCATGGTACTCTTTACTTGTATCTTGATGCTTTGAGAGGTTTTGCTGAGAAAGTAATTGAGGATCTACTAGAATTTATCATTTATCTTGATGCTAACTCATACTTCTGCAGTATTTTTTTAAGAGCAGCACAACACTGTGGATTAGCATTACAGAAGATCATTGTGTCGTCGGAAAAAAAGAAGATGATTTAGTATTAGGCTCTTTCTCGCCACTCAAGTACCCGGTAGAGTCCCTTCCTTGGGAGCCTTTTAACAAAGTCTAGAAAGCACTTCCCCACAGAGGATGAAGATGTATGGTGAGACAGGATCACATTGGTGAATGCTTCTATATGGGATAACGCTTCCTTGCGCTTGTCCGTTTACTAGGAAGGAGTAAGATAAAGTGGAGACACACTGCATGATCCAAGTAATGCACTTCTCATGGAAGCCTAGTCTTTTTAATACTTATTGTATGAAGACCCATTCAATTCTGTCGTAGACTTTACTCTTCTCGGTTTTGATAGCCATTGACACATGTTTCACTAACTTTGAGGTTTTGAGGAAGTGGAGTACTTCGTGGGTGATCATGGCGTTGTCAGAAATAGCCCTTCCAGTGATAAAAGCAGACTAATTCTCCGAGATTACATCTGTTAACACTGATTTGAGTCTATTTGCTAAAATATTTACAATAATTATATAGTAGATGTTGCATGGAGCAACATGCATATAGTCTGCCACTGTTTTAGCTCCTTGTGACTTGGAGATGAGTCTGATGTGGATGGTGTTGATATTTCGTGGCAGGACACCCGAGTTGAAGAACTTTAGGATTTCTTTTATGATCACAGGACCCACTGAGCTCTAGTTCGACTAGAAAAACTTGCTTAGAAGCCATCAGTCCCCGTGGTTTTGTCCGCATAGATATCAAACAGGGCTGCTTTGATTTCCTTTGGAGAAGGGAGCTCAATAAGAGTTGTATTCATCTCTGGGGTGATGCAAGGTATGATAGCCTGATTGATTGTCTCAGTTCCGTCAAAAACCCTTGATATGAAGAGGTCCTGGAAGTAGGTAGAGATGGCCTGTGTTATCTGGGTCTCCTTGTGATACACTTTCCCTTCCTGGTCTTCAGTGACGAAGAATCTATTCAGTGCTCTTATTTCTTTTGTAACGACGTGGAAATATCTCGTGTCCTTATCTCCTAAGGTAAGCCAAAACTCTCTGCTTCTCTGTTTTCATTAATCTTCCTCAGCATTATAAGCATCTTTAAGAGTCTTGTTTAGCACAAAGATCAGCTCCTCATTAGGTTTCGGGCATGAGAATTCTCTGTCAAAACTCTCCTTTTCTGACATAATCGTTTTCTTGATAGTGCATGAAAACATCTGGATATTCGTCGATCAACAAGGCACACGACAAGTTCATTCCAGGTTTTTGAAATTAGCTCCTTAATTTCCTGGTTGTTTCGTAGTCTCCTGTCATATCTGAACAAGCCTCTCGCTTTCTTTTTTGTAGGATAGAATACAATGATAAGGGGTCTATGGTCGGAACCCTCAAAGCGGAGATACTTACTCCTCCCTAAGAGAAACTTAGCTGCCCAGGCGCTGTTAGATAACGCTCTATCCATATCTATATAAACACATAAAGTCTCTCATAATTTTTTTGCCAAACAAAATAATATTTCTTGAACTTTATTTTATAAGTATAATTTTCTTTTTATTATTATTATTATTAAAACACTTTATACGGTATTTTAAAATTTTAAACATTATGATTCGTTTGGTATTCCAAATTTTTATTCTTTATGATTCGTTTGATAAATATTGTATTTGTCTAAAGTGTTTTCGGTATTGAATATTTAAATAATTCCAAAAATAATTACATACAAAACTTGCAACGTAGAATTACAGTAATAGGAAATGATAGATGCTTATAATATGGCATTAGACTACGATGAGCTCAATGAGGAGGAGGATCCACGGAAATCAATTATGTAGAGAATCTTTTGACGCGAGTCTTGAAAAGTATAACTTCTCTAGAAAGCACAGAGATCATATATGAGAGATGAATGTGAAGAGAAAGAAAAAGTCTGTTTGCTTTAAGAGTTTCATGGGGAGAAAATTAATATATTCGAAATGCATACTCAAGTTTTTAACTCAAAAAAACAGAAGAAAAAAATAGTTGATAAAGTATTGAACTACAAAAAAAAGTAGGGTTAATATTACTTAGACCCACAATAGATTCTGTATTTTGAATATTTTAATTAAAAAAAATAAAAACTAAAATAAATAACTCTTACATTTCAATTTTTTGTTTTTAATATTTTTCTCAGCAATAATTTATTTTTTCTTAAATTATTTTAATAATTAAAATTCTATTATTATAAATCCGCCTATATATAGATTTCAATCTATTAGTTTTATAATTTAATTGCTTATGACAGAAAAAATGTTATGAATGAGTTATACAATAAGACATTTTTACAAGATTTTGTAACAAAAAAACCTATTTGTCCTATGGGATTACTTTAAATATTATGTAAACAAATTTAATCTCGTATTGTACCTGAAATAGACATGAAATAGTTGGACCTTAACTGTTATGAGAAAGTTGGGGAAAAAAGAATTATAAAATTTAAATTTTGTTTGAACGAGTGATTAAAATCGTGTAACTGAGACTTAAGAAGCAAAAATATGTCTGTGTTGAAGAAACTCATGCTTACTCATTGAGAGCGTCCTTGTAACCATAGTTACTACAACCAAATCTCACCATAGCAATTGATCACCTGATTCTCTTCCAAAAAAAAAAATTGAACTCAACTAGCACAAATTCTTGGTATGGGTTTTTGAAGTCCAAAACACGTATCCAGCAAGGTGGTCTCAAACAAATCGACACTGAAACATCCCACACTGTATTTGTCATATAACCCATAAGCATATACTTTTGGGTTATTCAACATGGGATTCACTATTCGTCAAGCAAGTATGCTTTCAATTTCATCAAAGATATCACCAATGCGGGTCTATCAGCTACTTGAACACAGAGTTGCGCAAGATCAAGAACTACCTTCAGTTCTTTCTGGGCTGGAAAGGGGGAGGAGAAACCATGAAGTCACTCAGAATGATTATAAGAGAAAACAAAAAGACAATCAGGACAAGCTATTCACAATCAACTGATTGATTTGAATCTCAAGAGTTTGTGGAGATAATTCTACACAATTCTGTTTTCATTATACAGTTTCTTTTGAAGTACAAAACATGAAAAAGAACGATCAGGGGATCTTCTCATAGATTTTTGTTATAAACTTTTAAATTATTGGTTTTCGTTACGCAATTTCTTTTAGTAATGAATTTTTGCCAATTCAAAATTTGTAGTATCGTAATTGCAGTGGAAGAACTTGAACCCTAATTCTAAAACGAATCCTTCCACCACCTAACAGATCTCACAATGAATTGCTTTACGTACGTGACAACTTTTATTTGAACATATATCATTGATTTCCTATATTTTGGATTTGATAGGTAACTTTAGTTACTAATAATATACCGACTTACAGAAACAGATTACAATAACAACATAGAAAAACATACCAACACAATAACTTTTGCGAGAGATTTAAAACGAGAAAAAAACCCATAAAAATTAGTCAAGAATTATGTTATGTATAACCAAGAAAAAAGTTACTAAACTAAGATGTAAGGAAGCAAAAATTGATAGTATGACAGTTTTCTGTAACACCAAAAATGATCATGAACGTAAAATCCCTATAACACTAAGATTAATTAAAATTGAATAGGGTTTAGATTTTTCAACACTCGATTCTCACAGCTCCACTCTCAGATGAAACGAACTTAGGCTTCCTAATGACCGGCTCCATGCACTGGATCACATCTCCGACTCTAAAATCATTCCAGTCTCCCATCACAACCCCACACTCGCTCCCTTTCCCGACCTGTTCCACGTCTTGTTTCTCCCGTTTCAGCGACGCGCACGAGCCTTCGAAGAGCACTTCTCCGCTCCGCAACAGCCTCATCAGCCCGCTTCTACATACCCGACCATCCATCACTTTGCAGCCGGCGATGTTCACACCGTCTTCTTCCGGTCTCCTCTTTCCTAAGATCTTGAAAATGCTAAGTACTTCGGCTTCTCCAGCCACTTCCAGCTCCGATACTCCAGGAGCTTTCTCCACGATCAAGTTCCCGATGTCTTCGAGCAAATGGTATATCACACGGTGATGGAATACCTAAAGAGATCATTCACACATTTGGTTACAATGTTAAAGCTGCGTTTGGATACTATTGAAGTCATATGAAACCGGATATACCTTGACGCTGGCTTGAGCCGCGGAAAGATTAACAGAGCTTGCACCCTTAACGTTAAACCCGACGATACACGCACCAGTAGCTTGTGCCTTGTCCAAATCAGATTGAGAAATTGCTCCCACCCCGCTATAAACAATGTTCACAAAAACCTATACAGAAAGCTAATAAGCAACACAACCACCAAAGCAAACCAGCAAAAAGGTTTTAACTTTTTTACGAACCTGTGGGCTATTCAATGTTTTTAGCGCATCAGCAACAGCTTGAGCGGTTCCTTGAACGTCCGATTTCACAATTATGGGTAACTCAACTCTAACAAACCCTTCGTCAGACTCTGCTTTCTCCATCTCTGCTTCAGCGATTCTCGCTTCCTCTGCTTTCAACAACCGATCTCTTTCGTATTTCCTTCTCCGTCCTTCGCTCAGCATTTTCGCGCGTTCCTCTGATTCAACCACAATGACATCGTCGCCTGCCATGGGAAGACCCTTAAGCCCTTCGATCTCGACGGGAACAGCGGGCGTTGCTCGGTCCGTTAGCTTACCGAGCATGTCCCGGATACCCCTGAGTCTTCCCCACTGATACCCAATCACAACGTGATGACCGCTCAGTAAAGTCCCGGCTTTTATGATAATGGTGGCTAATGGTCCACGACCTTTGTCGAGCCGAGCCTCCACAACATATGCTTGAGCTGGTCCGTCCACGCGTGCTTTAAGGTCCATATCCACCGCTTGTAGAAGCAGAGCTTCTTCTAATTTGTCTAGCCCTGTACTCTTTATTGCAGACACCTCAACAACCTGAAACAGAGCCAAACAACCATAATGGAAAAAAATTCTATATCCAAGTAACAGAATGAACCAAAAAAACAAACCGAAGAGCAAATAAACCGACTTGGTTTTATAACCGAACAAAACCATAATTCAGGTTCTAAATTCAAAAACTCATAAAACACTACTACGAAGAGTTAAAAAATTTCAAAACTTTCACCTGAACGTTTCCTCCAATATCCTCAAGCTCTATCCCTTCAGCAGCGAGCTGGTTCTTAACTCTTTCGGGATTAGCTCCTGGTTTATCGCATTTGTTAATCGCAACCACGATCGGAACATTCGCGGATCTAGCGTGCGCGATAGCCTCGAGGGTTTGAGGCATCACACCATCATCAGCAGCAACCACCAAGACGACTATATCAGTCACAGCAGCTCCACGAGCACGCATCTCGCTGAAAGCGGCGTGGCCAGGCGTGTCGAGGAAGGTGATCGAAGTGCCGGAATCAGGCATTCCCACCACGAACGCACCAACGTGCTGAGTTATTCCGCCGGCTTCTCTTGCCGCCACAGAGGTGTTTCTTAAAGCGTCTAACAAAGATGTTTTGCCGTGATCGACATGGCCCATTACGGTTACAACAGGAGGCCGTGGGAGGATTTCTGATCCTTCTGTAGTGTGTAGCCTCCTTACGTTGATCCCGATTTCCTGAATTACATTAAAGATTCAATCTTGAAAACAGATCCGAACAAAAAAGAACCAACCAAGAAACCAATAAATTCTCAATTTGGTTTAAATGGTTATGCTTTTTAGATATTTAAAAACTGAACCCAAAGCCGTGTGAATCAGTCCATAGTCGATTTGGTTTTACATAGCTTGCTATTTTCTTGAAACCAAAAAAACTTGAGTTAAGCTCAGACCGAAACTCAGCTAAAATGTTTGTTTAATAACCAAATCCAAACCTGAATTGTACCAAAACTGATCCATGCAAGATAATGTTTTACTTAGGTTACTATTGTTCAGAATGAGAATTCAATCTAACTCGATCCCTCACAGTGACTGGAACTAGAGGTAGAATCACCTTACCATTGCAAGGAGCTCGGCTTCATCGACACTGATGGTGTCGAATTCCGAACCAACAGTTTCCCCAACGTTAACAAGAATGCTCTGCAAAATCGCCAATGACTCGCCAGTACGCTTGGAAAGCTCAAGCAACGTCATGCCTTCGAATATGTCGACTGTCTTCTCAGGCAATCCCTTTGCCAATCTTTTCAGCCTGGGAGGCACATAAGGAGCTTCAACAGGTGGCTGATCCGTTTTCTTCTCCCGTTTCGAGAACTTTCCTTTTATTCTCACAGTCTGTTTCTTGCGTTCACGGTGACTCAGAGGACGATCAGGATCCTCCTTTCTTCTCGCCAATGTTTCTCGGCTTGCATGAAAATACCTGTTGAAAGAGTAACCCAACACAGGCCAGTGAACATTGGAACAGATCAAATACAAGAGAGAAAGAACTCTAGGAGAATGGTTTACCTTATGTAAGTGAACATTTGAACAGATAAAATATAAGATAGAAAGACGTAAAAACTCTAAGGGAATGGTTTACCTTGTGGATGTTCCGGTTGGGAAAGATTCACGACCATAAGACCAATTTGATAGAGAGCTAAAACCGAAACCTACACAAGAACAAGAAGAGGGTTAGAAAACGTATTGTAACCACCTGTGAATGAAACAGCCTTTTTTAGGCTTACCATTTATATAACGAGCGAATGAAAAAGAGACACTTTCGGATGCGTTTCTTAAAACCGTATAGGAAAGCTGCCTCTCTGTAGATGCTGCTACTCGTGGAAGAACCAAACCTCTTTTAAAAGAGGCTTGAATGCCCTGTAAATACGTTTAAGTTACTTGAAGTATCCGTTAACATATGTGAAATGCTGATATAAAAATGAGACCGAGATACTGAAACGTATTCAAAACTATTCGAAGAATGTGTAAGTACTCAACAAACCAAACTAACTAGATAAAAATGCAGACTTTTACCAAAAATGAAACAATGCTTCATTTCCGATAAACAATTCGAAATACGAATAGCTTAGACGATGAACCGAGAAAAGAACGATGCAAGTTCATCCCATGAACGAGTCTAGTCAACTTCATGAAAAGGAGCAAAAGGCCTAATTGCAATTTTAATGAGATAAACACCAAGCCACGTCCAACATCCAACAATAATCCTTATAACTTTTAACCAACCCAAAAAACATAATCACAACATTTTCCATGGAGAATTCAAAATTAGTTCAATAGCTGACCACTAAAACTATGCAAAAATTAGACAAATGCCAGAAAAAAGTATGAAATGGAAGCTAAACCTAAAACCTTTTTGCTTAAACTTCTCAGGAAAAAAACAGGATAATAATTCACTAAAAAGAGAGGCAAAGACTACGAAAAGTACCTTCTTGCCTAAGTGCCTTAACGCCATTCATACGTCAATTAGTCTATGCATTGAAACGAAAAAGCAAAACAAAAACCTCAAATTGATAAGCAAGAGGCTGACCGATTCCACCGGCGGCGCCAAGGATGGCAACTTTGCGTTCGGGGACGGACTCGGATGAGAAGCTGCGGCGGAGAAGCGACTGCTTCGCCGAGGAAGAAGAACGGACGAGCATAGATCTGAACATTTTGGGAAGAAATCTAGGGTTTCTTCTCGAGAGGAATCAATCTGGAGGGGAGAGAAGAAGCAAATCTAGGAGATGATGCTTTTTGGTTTTAAGGTTATGTGGAGAAACAGTTTAATGCTTCCAGCACATTTTCGGGTTTTAAAAAAAAAAAAATCGTTTAATTGTTCTTTTTGTTTCGAGTTAATAAGAAAAAATATCTTTTAAAAAATGGATATTGTAATTTTTAAAAATGATTTGTTGTCAAATTAGACATTCTTTGCCATTTGTATTCAATCGTAAATTTATGTTCAAACCGCATCTTTAATAATACTAGGTTTGTAACTCGCGCTACGTGCAAGTCTGTATTAATAATTTAGTTTATTTTTTTGGATAATATCTTTTAAATTATCAAAACTATAATATATTTATAGAAATTTTCTTCTATATATATAAAAAAATAAAACATAATATGTAGTTTTTCCTATTTTTTTATAAAATTATAAATCTTATTAAGCTAAATCATAGTAATGACACATAACAAATTATCCAACTTTGATGTGCTCCTTTGATTTAGAAAATGATTTCCTTACTAAATTTTTGGTGTTTTTTTTTGTCCTTAGGATTTCTAAAATTCTTTTTTTTTAAGTTTATATATTTAAATATTTAGTGTTTTTACTAAATGTCTCACTGTGTTGTGTACCTATACATATATAATATATGATATATGTTGATTCAGATTTATTTTTATTAGTAAGCTACGTATCCTAATCGTGTAAAACTGCTTTTTACTTCTCCACCAGATCTTCAACGAATTTTAGGTTATATCTCTATTCAGTTTATAGATCTATTTTATTTGCAATCAATTATTTGCTAATTTTGTTTTTAAACATGTAAGATAGTGTGGAGACTTCACATTATCAATGCTTTTTTTTATCTTTTATGTATTTTATTCATATTTTGATTTGAATAGTTTATCTACATATATTGCCATTTGAATTTGATTCGTAACTTTTTATATTTTATTATTAAAATTAAATTTCAGATGATGTTGCTCATGTGTTGTTCATGTTGAATAAGTTATAAGCTAGCAAATATGTATACAAATCAGACTTTATTACTTCTTGTTATATTTTGAATGTAAAGTTAGTTGTGTAGTATTTTACTTAGTTAGTAGGGGTTATTGGTTCTTGTATTTTGGTGGATTTATAAATCTTCTTTGGATTTGATAAATTTATTGATTTCAAAATCAGCAAAATGGAAAAAAATCAAATCCACTCAAATACCAAGGTTAGACCTTGTATTTGGGTCTTTGTATTTTAGTCATAAAAATCCTTCCAAATCCATTCAAATTCAATTAAAACTCAAATTCTTATAATATTTAGATTCTAAAATGATAGAACCAATAACACTGTATTTCATTATGGATTTTAAAATCATAGAACCAATAACACTGTATTTCAATATAAATTTTAAAATACAAGAACCAATAACACTGAATTTAGTTTGGATTCTCAAATCCATTAAAATACAAGAACCAATAACACCTCCTTAGTTTTTAAACCAGACGCATCCAAGGTATTAATTTTGGTAAATTTAAATAGTATATTTGATTTAGAAGCTTGTATAACCTACTATAACTTTATATGGTTATTCATAATCAACACCAATATTTTAGAAACCATGAATTTTTTGGAACTAAATTTTAAACTAATTTTCTTCTTAGATCTTGTTTTAGTTATTTTAAATATCTTCAATGGTAATTTTATATTTTATTTTAATTATTTTATTTATTGGATGTTTGATATACTTAAAACATATATATATTTTTAATTAATATCTTTTGTTATTGATTTTCCAAATATGTAGCATATATATTAATCTTATATCTCTTACATAAATATTTTTTCTTTGTTAAATTTACTTTTAAAATTTATTAAAATGCTATTTTTACATGCTATAACTGGTTATTCTAAATTTTAAGTAAAAATCTCTTAAAAGCTTATACTATCATTTGCTGTTTTTAGTTAATATTTTTTTGGTAGTTAGCCTAAATATCAAACTAATTTTACTTTATACAACTTTTTCCTTTGATAATTTACCTCTCTTGACATTGATTTTTATTTTATCTTAACACAGAATTGTTTTGAAAATATTAATATTTTGAAGACATAATTTCATTTTTTTTAGTTAAATGTTGTTATATATATATTTTAAGTAGTTAGTCAGATATCAAGTCAATAAGTGTTTTTTAAAAAATTTAACATTTTGTAAAACTTAATTTTCGTTTTAGTTAATTAATTTTTTAATATTTATTTCTTATATAATTAGCTTAAATATTTATATTATTTTTGTTAGTTAAGTTTTTTAGTATTACTTAAATTTTTTTATTCTCTTACTTATTCTGTTTATATTAATTTTGTTAAATAAATAACATAAATATCAAGTTAATATCTTTTTTTGTTAATTTAACTTTCTCGATATAGACTTTTATTTTAATTGTATTGACATATTGCAAGAAATAATTTATGTTTTGTTTATTGTTAGTTAAACATTTTTTTACATTGTTTTATTCAGTAATTAACATAAAATATCATTTTTGGTTCGTTAAACTTTTGTGTTAATTTTCTAAATAATTACTTTAAATAACACGTTTTAGATGACTTTTTTTTTTGATAATTTGACATGAATAGTTTTTTGGTAGCATTGATATTTTAAATAACAATTTTATAAGTTTATATAAAAATTTAATCTTAATATTTTTTCTAAATAAATTACTCATTTAACATATATATGCTAAATTTTTTATTTTTTTTAATTTAACTTTTTTAGTTATTGATTAACATATTTGTTTTTGTTAATTTTGTTTTTGTGACAATGAGTTTCCATTTTATTTTGACAAATGTTATAGATTTGGATTTTTGACATAAATTTATTTCATTTAGTTAAAAAAATTTTAACTTAATTTTTCATTATACTGTGATAATTATATATTTTTGCATATTTTAATTATTAATAATATTTAATATTTTTATGTTTAATCAATGAAAAATGCTAATATAAACCAATCAGATTGACTATAGATGTCATATGTAGACGCTCTCAATGACCTAAGATATTAACACGGACCACAACTAATATATTTTAAGTTAGCAGTTCAGATTTTAATTGTTTGTCTTGATTCAAAATTTTAAAATAATTTAATTATGGTTTTAAATACAGTTTTTAATTATTTTGTTCAATATATATGATTTTTCTTTCGTAATCTATTTATGTGTGAATAGAAAAATAAGATTTATTTTCAAAACTCCTTTTTATTAATAACTAACTTTAAATTTAGAAACTTTCCTAATAACAAGAAAATCAAAATTAATTAAAATTTAGAAATTTTCCTTATAACAATTAAAATGAATTAATTAATTTTAATATATAATTTATAATTAACTTAAGAAAACGATGATGTGTATCAATATCAATACAATTTATACGCGCGAGTCTGTATTAATAATTTGGTTTAATTTTTTGGCTAATATCTTTTAAATTATCAAAACTATAATATATTTGTAGAAATTGTCTTTTATATAAAAAAATATAACATAATATGTAGTATTTCCTATTTTTGTTTATAAAATTATAAATCTTATTAAGTAAAATCATAGTAATGACACCTAACGAATTATCCAACTTCAATGTTCATATGTTCGATTTAGAAAATGATTTCCTTACTAAATTTTTGGTGTTTTGTTTTGTATCCTTAGGATTTCTATGGTTCTTTTTTTTAAAAGGTTTATATGTTTAAATATTTAGTTTTTTATTAAATGTTTTACTAATGTTGTGTACATATACATATATAATATATCATATATGTTGATTCAGATTTACTTTTGTTAGTAAGCTACACTAATCATGTAAAACTGCTTTTTGCTTCTCCACCAGATCTTCTACGAATTTTAGGTTATATCTCTATTAAGTTTATAAGATCTGTTTTTTTGCAGTCAACTATTTGCTAATATTTGTTTTTAATCATGTAAGATGATGTTGAGACTTCACATTATCACTTTTTTTTTATCTTTTGTGTGTTTATTCATGTTTTGATTTGAATATTTTATCTTCATATATTCATATTTGAATTTGATTCAAAACTTTGTCATATTATATTAGTAATTAGCATAAAATATCATTTTTGGTTTGTTAAGATTTTTGTGTTAATTTTTTAAATATTTCCCCAAAAATTATAAGTTTTAGATAACTTTTTTTTTGATAATTTACGATGAATGTTTTTTGGTAGTATTGATATTTTTAAATAACAATTTTATATGTTTATATTAAAATTTAATCTTAATATTTTTCTAAATAAATTACTTATTTAAAATATATATGATAATTGTTTTTTAATTTAACTTTTTCATTATTGATTTACATATTTCTTTTTGTTAGTTTAGTTTTTGTGACAATGACTTTCCATTTTATTAGTTTAGTTTTTGTGACAATGACTTTCTATTTTATTTTCACAATAGATTTATACTTTTGACATAAATTTATTTTATTTAGTTAAAAAAAATTATCTTAATTTTCCATTATATTGTGAGAATTTTATATTTTTGTATGTTTTAATTTATTTGAATTACTAATAATAATTTTTATTTTTTTATGTTTAATAAAAAATATTGATATAGACTAATCAGATTGAGTATATATGTCCTATGTGGACGCTCTCATTGGCATAAGACGTCAACATGGACCAAACCTAATATATTTTAAGTTAGCAGTTCAGATTTTAATTGTTTGTCGTGATTAAAATTTTAAAATAATTTAATTATGGTTTAAATTCAGTTTTTAATAATTTTGTTCAATATATATGATTTTTCTTTCATAATCTATTTATATGTTAATTTACCTTTTTATTGTTAATAGAAAAATAAGATCTATTTTCTAAACTATTTTTTATTAATAACTAACTTAAAATTTAGAAACTTTCCTAATAACAAAAAAAAAAATTTAATTTAGAAAATTTCCCTATATCAATTGAAACGAATTAATTAATTTTAATATATAATATATAATTAACTAAAAATAATGATGATGTGTACCAATATAATTGAATCTTTAAATCCTATGTGGACACCCTTAGAGGCATTTAGCATCAACTTTTATTAGTAA